AAAATAACAAAAATATAACACTTTAAATTTGACCAAAATTTTCTCCGTTGCGTTTTTTTTGCATCTGAGTGTATATCGAATTTAGTTTTTCTCGTTATCGAGAGATATATTTGTCTTGACGACATCTGTATCATATTTAGTTTTTTTGGGTGATTCCCATGGGATACATTTGTCTTGACGACATCTCTATCATATTTAGTTTTTTTAGTCATTACCGTGAGATATATTTGTCTGGATGACAATCTATATCAAGTGTATTTTGGTAAATTTTGGCAGTGTCTGTATGGGATGTACAGATACTTGGAGATTCTTATTAGCATACATAGAGGGGTGACGATTTCTCTATTGAACTGCAGAATCTCTAGTTTTTTTGGTTTTGGTGTGGTTGTTTCGCGAGCAACCATACTATTTTTTTGGTTTAGGATAGCTATTAGCAAGATGGTTGTTAGTTTAGTTCCCTATGAATTGTCATGAAGACAACTACATCCTGTGTATGACTGTTGGGAAATGGTCATACGTTTATTTAATTAGGTTTAGCTACGTAGCTTACTTCAGCTTAGTTTAGCTTAGTTTAGTACTTTAGTTTATGTACAGTATTTGTACATATTTGAGTCTGGATTTGAGTAATGTCGCTTCTTACATTTTTGTGACTGTAGTCAGTTTTGGGTTGAACCTAGTATTGGTTTATTGTAACTCTCTGAGTTGAGTTTGGTTGTCATTTTGACATTTGCTGTTGAGTTTGATCTATGGCTATGACCTAGCCTATGGTCGTTGTAAGTCCTTGTAACTTACGTATCCGCTCTACATGGTGGGCGAGTTGAGTGTGCTACTGGTCAGTTGCATGCTCAACAGTAATGAATAGCCATGTACGGGTTCCTCGTGGCGGTAAGAGTCAGTCAAATGCGACCGTAGTATGTGTGATAAGTCTCATAACATCGAGAGTGTCGGAAATTCTTTCCGTACACCTTATCCACATATTACGTATATAGTGTTACTTTTATTGAAATATTTATAATTAATAAGTTTTATAATTAATAAGTCTTACTTTTGTAGTAATACTTATAGTAATACTTATATTTATTGATTTAATTATATTGATTTGATTGACATACCTGGTTAGGTTTCCGTCGCCATTTGCTCGACAGGGCGTTGACCTTCCGTCGACTACCCTAAGCGATGAGTAGGTTTTGTTTTTCTTCGCTTTCTGAGTTGACGTTCAGAAGGTTTTTAGTTGCGTATTTTTTGTTGTTGAATGTGCACGAGCCGGTTTGTGCGATTGGTATGGCGCGAAACATGGCCAATGGCACAAACTGAACTCGGCCATTCACATGTAGAGTCATTTTGCGATATCGTTATATTACAGTTGAGGGTTGGAACCTTTGGTGTTACACAGCAAAATAGAACACGCAATCACCACAATACACCAAAACACTTTTACTTTTACACTGGACGCGCGTTTCGCTAACCATGCTAGTATCATCAGCAGATGATTATAAATTCAATCAGTTTATAATCATCTGCTGATGATGCTAACATGGTTAGCGAAACGCGCGTCCAGTGTAAAAGTAAAAGTGTTTTGGTGTATTGTAGTGATTTAGTGTTTTATTTTGATATCGTTATAGATTTGCTCTATTTATCCCATTTTAGTTGATGTACACTACAGTGCAGGGGATGCTTGCAACGATGCTGACAGATGTAGGGTATGTTTTCCACATTCATTTCATTTTAACTTTTCTTTACAGTTCTGTCTCTTGGTTATCATTTCTGGTTTTTGTTGGTGCAATCTGCTCCGTCTGAGAGAAGTGTTGAATTAGAGCACAGTAAATTTGTCTTTATTTAAGTCTTAAGGTACCTGTTGTTGATCTGACATGAACTATCACCATCAGGTTATAAACCGAGACGTATCGATACCATGAATGGATCGACGTTCTCTTTAATTATTGTTGAGTCGCGTTGTTTTAGAACATAGCGTATTTTGGAGTCTACACTTGTCTAGCCTGAGTTATCGATAATTTACACCTATATCGTTATAAAACACCTAATCATAGCAGTATTTAATAATCTTGCTTACCATAATAATAGCTGATGTACCTCCGTATTACTTTATTTTAGCGAACAGTGGCTCGAGATCGATACCATGAATGGATTGACGTTCTCTTTAATTATTGTTGCGTCGCGTTGTTTTAGAACATAGCGTTATTAATTTTGAGTCTGCACTTGTCTAGCTTGAGTTATCAATAATTTACACCTATATCGTTATAAAACACCTAATCATAGCAGTATTTAATAATCTTGCGTACCATAATAATAGCTGATGTACCTCCGTATTATTTTATTTTAGCGAACAGTGGCTCGAGATTGATACCATGAATGGATCGACGTTCTCTTTAATTATTGTTGAGTCGCGTTGTTTTAGAACATAGCGTTATTAATTTTGAGTCTGCACTTGTCTAGCTTGAGTTATCGATAATTTACACCTATATCGTTATAAAACACCTAATCATAGCAATAATAGCTGATGTACCTCCGTATTATTTTATTTTAGCGAACAGTGGCTCGAGATCGATACCATGAATGGATCGACGTTCTCTTTAATTATTGTTGAGTCGCGTTGTTTTAGAACATAGCGTTATTAATTTTCAGTCTGCACTTGTCTAGCTTGAGTTACCGATAATTTACAGGGTGTTCAAAAACAAAAAAGCTCAACGCTGCACCACGCTGCACTTTAACCCTTTTTCTTTTTCCAATAGTTTATAAGTTTTCCATATATTTGTAGCACCCTGTATCTGTTTTTGATTTAAGCGTCATTTTGTATTTTTTATCCAATTAATAATTAAATATTAATAAATTTATAAGAAAATAAAGATAATTTGACTCTTGATAAAGATAATTTGATTTATTGGAATTGAAAAGGTTTTTGATTTTAGTATAGCATGTATTAGTAATATATTAAATGGAAATTTTTAGAGGGGGCAAGCTGGGGCAAGATATTAAATTAGTTTCGTTATTAGAAAGGCTTAATCTACCTTGTGACATATATAAAGTATTGGCCAACTTTGGCCATTTTTTTATTTTTCTACATACATATTTTTTTGGTACTAAATCTAGTATTTAGTAGCAAAAAAATGTTTATGTGTCTCTTATATACAATAATTGTTCTCCCAAACTTTTGTGACTATATATATCTTTTATTTTAAAGTGAAAACAATCGTTTGCACTAATATATGTATGGTTAAAAAAATTATTAATGTCTTTGCCACTTTTTATAAAACTAGGTTGTTTCACAAGAAATGAATGCCATAATTAAGTCAGTGTAATATCTTCATTTGAAACTTTTCAAACAGACATATAATTAAAAATATTTTTTTGAGTTGGATAAAATATAACGGTCTGGACTTTAAGTAATTAAAATCTTCTACCAAAATTATTTAATTTAAAATTTTATTTTTAAGTCAATGTCCAACATTTTATATTGTGTCTTTCCACCGTGCGGCGGGACAATTGCTATAGTTATATAGCTCTAGCAATGAAAACACGCTGTATGCTGGAAGCCACCAAAGCAAAGAAAACACGCTGTGTTTTCATTTCTTTGGTTTGTGTTTGGCTCGAGTTGAGTTGGTTTGGTATTGTGTTGGTTGTTTTTGTATTGGTTGGTTTTGTATGGGTCGGTTAGGGTTTTGTCTGGTTGGTTTGGGTTGGTTTGGCTGTTTTTTTTCTTTTTATCTGTTTTATATTTTGGTTTAAACAAGATCGAAACAAAAGCAACCAAAACACGCTTAAAACACGCGATTTTAACAAAATTCAAGAAAAAGGGTGAAAACTACCCCAACCCCTACATAAATTTTAGTATAAATATTTTCCAAATCCACCGATGGCCTATTTTATTTTCGTAAAATGATCCTTCTAGTATTTAGTACATTTTTTGTCTCTTGTAAAAAATCGCCACCGTGCATACTTTTTGAGGAAAAAATTAATGTTTTGTCACATTAAGTTATGGAGGCGCATAAAATCTATTAAGTATGCTGTAATAATCTAGTTGGCGTAAACATGGAATTTTATGCTAGTATCACAAATTATATTTGACGATAAGCTGCATAGAAAACTTAAAAAAATAATAATTTTTAAATTAATTAACGTTCAGGTATCTGTGATTGATGCCCTCTAACGGACAAACGATGCACTTTTGTATAAAGGTAAATTAGGTGCAATTAACTTATTTTTGATCCAAAAAATTGTCCACGAAATATTGGAAATTCTTGTATATTTTGTAGGTCTGCTTTGATTAAATAAATTCTTCAATTTTTTTTGACAAAAGCTATGCGATGTGGCGTTTTTTACAAGAGACAAAAAATGTAGTAAATACTAGAGGGACCATTTTACGAAAAGAAAATCGGCCGTTGGTGAAGTTGGAAAATATTGATACTAAAATTTATGTAGAAGTGGGTGAAAATCACTTCTCCCAAAAAACTTCCCGTATTTTTTCTTGATTTTTGTGAACGCCAAATGTTAAATTAAAGTAAAGTTGTAAACAAAATGTAACATCAGATACGACAATGACAAAATGATATTTTTGTTGGTATTTTAATTGTAGCGTTGTCTGGGGCGTATATAAATTTTAGTAATTTTAAAGTAAATTTTTGCAAATAACTTTTAAATGCCGATTCTAAATATAACGAGATTCTAGACAAAAGTACAACTTTAACGCCTCTTCAAAAAAGTCTAATACAACTTTCACCTAAAATCATCTGGGGGGATAATATTTAACCTGTTCAAAATTTACATGTTACACCTATACACAATGGTAGGGACATTTACATGTCTCTACCGGTACACAATTTATGTCCCATGTTCCAATACACCACACGGTATATTTGTATAACTTTGATAAACAATTAACACTAAATTGGTGAAACAGCTTTCAAATTTTAGTAATGATATCTAATATAATTTTCGTTGAACTGAAAATCAGCTCGTAGTAATAATTATTGATTTTTCTCCAGTATAAACAAAATCGACAGTTTGGCCGACTTTCAATTCTGCAAAAGATTGGAGGAACTCTACATAAGACAGAACGATATCAGAAACCTCAACGAGGTTGTATACCTGCAAAATTTGCCTAATTTAAAGAATCTGTGGTTAGGAGAAAACCCCTGTTCTAATATCGAAGGGTAAGTGAAATTTTTTATATTTCCAATTTTCTTATGAACATTGATATCCTGTATGAATTGATCTTAATTTTAGTGGGTATTTTTAATAAATATCTGGCAATAAATAATCTGTATCCAATAGTGTTTATTTGTAGGTACCGATTGGCAGTGATCAAAGCTTTACCACAACTACAAAAATTAGATAATGTTGCCGTTACTCAGGAGGAAATAAGAGAATCTCAGAAATACGGAAGGTAAGATAATTGTTTTATTTGAGAATCAGCTCGCCTTAAATTAAAACTCTTATAATTTGTTTTTGCCTAGAAATGGATTTGTATTTCATCATTTGTTGCAACAATTATTTAGAATTAGACGGTAACCAGTTGTTACTTCTAATTGAGCAGACTAAGACTAAGGGTACAAACATAGTGGGTCATCTCGATGCGATGCTCGCCAAGATGCTGACCGCGCTGCTCGCCAGGATGCCAGCCGCGATGCATCCTACGCGCACTGTTTTAAAACGGCGAGTAAGTGCGCGTAGGATGCATCGCGACTATCGTACAAACATAGTGCGGGGCATTTCATCTCGACAAACATGTACAAATTTATACGTCAAAACATACTGGAGCCTCGCACCTCGCCACGCACCTATATGTTCAGCGCGATGCGTCCTAGGAAACAAAATTTTTGTTTTTTGCCAGAAGCGGACGCGGATGCCTAAAACTTTACATTTGATTGGTCGGTTTAGGATCACAATTCGTTGAGCATATGTCGAACTAGAGTGGGGTGGAATAAAATGTTCACAATGCTAATATTTAATTTATCACCAACAATGTAATAACATTGATTCTACAGGGTCCGGCATTAGTGCGTCGGGCATCTGCAGCTCCTATAATAAACAACTTAAGAATTTTGTAGTCCAGACATAAAGTATGTATTAGGATGTATTTGAGGAAAATATTTGAACTTCTAAAGGGTGGCTCAAAAAAGTGTGAGTGGATCGCGAATATTTTTTTAAATGGAACACCAATATACAGGGTGTTATACTCATTCCCCTCGGTTGATTATACGAAAACGGAAATACGTAGAAACAAAATATTTTATGGGCATATGTGGGAAGACCATGTGCATAATTTAAAATTATTTTGAAATGTACAGGGTATGTCAGAACTAAGATTTACACCAAAGTTATATTTTTTCTTATGGAACACCCGGTATTTCATTTCCGGTATTTCATTTCATATTTGGATCCTTGGACACAAAATAAGGCATTTATTATAAGGGTTATTATATATTAATATGTTTACAAGCTTTGGTTTTTGAGATATTTAAAGATATTTAAATTATGCATGCTACAATGGAATAGATTATCAACACCCTGTACATTACTTTTTAGAATTAATTATTGTGCTGAGTTTAAAGATAGAGAAATAAACTTTACTGAAAAATTGTATTGCTTCCTTAAATTTGTAGCGTTTTTTATAAACATTACCACTGCGAACGGCAGCTTTTCATCGGAGAGCAGTCGTGGATAAGGTGTTTCACTGGAGAGAAAACTAATCAATAACAATAAACAAAAAATATAGATATTGGGCGCCAGGCATGTACAGAGAAAAAAAAACACAGTTGTTTATTACTTCAGTGACTATATTCATTCATGATGTATCCTGATGGTAAATAGCATTGTACAATTTTAATAATTATTATAGTGGTTATATGTCGAGTAAAAGCTATGTATGTAAATAATATTAAATATGTTCTATGAAAGGACTATGAAAAAATACAATGCGTGTAACGTTATAGAAAATATAAGAAAGGTAGCATTACTTTATTTAAATTGTTAAATTTTATGCGGTGTTAAATCTGATATATTGCAACCTGTAGATTCTAGAATCTATGTCTGGTTATTCATCTGTTAATATAGCGTAATAATAATATCTATAGAAAGTAATACTATTACAAGGCGTAATGTAATGAAACCTAAAATCTAAATCATATTGTAACAACTAAATCGACATAAATGTTCTTAATAATCTAACCACTAAATATAGTCTGTACGATATTATTTAAAATGTACGTTAAGTTAAGACTGAAAATCGACTGAAAACCAGAACCTAAATCTACACTTAGTAGTAATCTTGTTTCAAAGAGTAGCAGCGTGAGGTGGGCTCATATCTCTGTACTGTCTGTCGGCGATCCTGTTAGCCAAAACAACAAAAGGGGCCAGAATGAGGACACCATGAATCAATACAGCCGTAGCTACTGACTAGGCTTAGAAATGGTAGCGAAGCAGCATGGGGCTTACGCTGTATCCATACTGTGGCAAACCAATGGCAAACCTGTCATTGACATACCACCTGATCTATCGGATCCAAATCATATAAACAGGTATTTTACTTCAATATTTGAGAACAGCGATGTTGCATGCGCAGAGAGAATAAGTTTTTATTGCAACCATAAATTTAATGAAAATTTGTCTTTCGATTTTAAACTTATAGATGTGCCTGAAATAATTAAAATTATAAATTGTATAAAATCAAATGCAAAAGGTTCTGATGGTTTAAGTTTACAAATGGTAAAAATGTGCCTACCCAGCATTGATAGATACATATGTCATATTATAAATAGTTGCTTAGAAATTGGATTTTTTCCACAAATATGGAAAGAGGCATTAGTCATTCCTCTACCAAAAACTGCAAACCCATCAAGATATGATGACTTGCGACCAATTAGTTTATTGCCAATCTTATCGAAAATCTTGGAAAAGATTGTGTATAGCCAAATAATAAATGATTTAAATGATGCAAACTTGCTACCGAAAGAACAATCGGGGTTTAGAAAAGGTCAAAGTACAGAAACTTTATTATTGGCATTATCTGATGATGTTTTTCGAGCATGTGATAACGGTTTAGCAACTGTTCTTGTGCTATTGGACTTCAGCAAGGCTTTTGACACCGTGAATCATGCGTTGTTGGTTGAAAAATGTAAATATATTGGCTTTGACAATGTTTCAGCGATTTTTTTTTGAAATCCTACTTAGAAGATCGAAGCCAGAGAGTTACTATAAATAATGAATTCTCTGAAAATCTCTGTATATCCTCTGGTGTCCCTCAGGGCTCAGTATTGGGCCCATTATTGTTTTTGATTTACACTATTGATCTGCCAAATGTAATAAAGACATCTCACATAAAATGTTTTGCCGATGACACACAAATATACAGCCATTTTAAGTGTAAAGAATATGAACAAGCAGTCATAGACATTAATGCAGATTTAGAGAGAGTCCTCGATTTTGCTAGAAATCATAATTTGCGTTTAAATCCAACCAAGTCAAAAACAATAATATTTGGATCTAAAAAGTATCGAATTTATTTGAAATCAAAAATAAAACTTTATATAAATGATCAGCCTATAGAAAATGTAGAATCTGTTAAAAATTTAGGATTGTGTATAGACGAAAGTTTTAAATTCTCAAACCATGTTACTCAGTTAGCTCGAAAATGTTATTTGAGTTTGAAACTTCTGTATTCCCAGAAGCATATATTGACATATAACATGAAAAAACGTTATGTCAGAGTCTCGTACTCTCAAAGTTGCAATATTGCAGTATGGTATATTTTCCATGCCTCAGTTCAATTGATGCTTATAGACTACAGAGGATTCAGAACAACTACTGTCGTCTGATACTAAATAAACGAAAGTATGATCACATTTCCTCAGCATTTGAGACACTCAAATGGCTAAAACTAAATAAATTATTTAAATTAAGAATATTGACCTCCGTTAAGAATATTGTAGATACTACACTTCCTTTTGATCTTTTCAGAAAATTAAATTTTATATAAGACACAAAAAAATGCTTACTATGCCAAATCACAAAACGGCCATGTTTCGGAAATCGTTTACTTACAACTCTGTATGTATTTTTAATAATTTAAGAAAATATATTCAAACTTTGTTTTTTCTATGTTCATCATTTAAATTTAAAACAAGTCTGAAAAACTATTTATTGCTGGAACAACAGACCCCAAGCTTAGGATAATTATTGTGATATTTTTTGTTTGATTGTTTACTTTTTAAATTTTTTGTGTTTGTTACAACGTATTGGTCCATACAATCGAGCCACATTTATTGCTCATTTTATTTTTATTTTCATCTGGACATTATTTTCGAACTTATGTTTCTTTTCTTATTATGCGTATTATAAATGTATTGATTAGGTTAAGTATGAATGGCTCTGTGAGCTAGACTTCGCCTATGTAATTAATTAATACATTATTGTAATTGATTAATTATTAATAAAGACCATTTATTATTATTATTATTATTATTATTATTATTATACTGTGGCAATATGGGGACACTACCCGTACCTTGGAACACTACTAGGACCTTGGATAATGTCCGTAACCTGGACCATAACCTTGGACCATAACCTTGGACACAGTCCGTCCATAAGATAACGGTACAGGGGAACACTACCCGTACCTTGGATACTACTAGGACCTTGGATAATGCCCGTCCATAAGATAATGTACGTCCATAAGATAACGGTACAGGGGAACACTACCCGTACCTTGGATACTACTAGGACCTTAGATAATGCCCGTACCTTGGACCATAACCTTGGACACAGTCCGTCCATAAGACCCTAAAAATACGAAACTCTTGTTTAAAACCAAACAAGGTCTAATAAACAAAATAAACCTACCTCGAAATACTTCCGAGGGCTCAATAATAAATAAAGAAACTGTCCTTTCTTCCATGTAACATTCTGGAGGACAAAAGCAAAAGAACACCAATGTGCCAGCAAAATACAAATATGAGTTAAGGTGGGTCAATCCAAAACTCTACCCTAAAAATATTCAATAATAATAACGAATCTAATAAAGATAATATCTCATCTTTACCTGTTGCTTCGAAATGGCAGCTGATTCAGATTTTGCAGCAAGATTTAAATTATTACCATTTCTAAAAGTCGGGTGAACAAAAGTGAGGTTAAGCGCGGAGAGCGACCTAACCTTGGAGCGATGTTGACAGCGCCTCCACAGAGCAGTGAAACGATAACAGGGTTGGCGACTAGGGAACGTAAAAATTACGCCAAGCGTGCAAAATAAATTATCAGGCCTGAACGATACGGAATCCGGTGATGATAGGCCAGACATATATTATATATAAAAAAGACATGTAACGAACTAAAAACGTTACAAATTTATACAGGGGTACCAAAAATTGATGAGTTATTTTAAATATT